CTTGAACAGCACGTGCGCCGAGGACAGCACGTTTCCACATATAGCAGGGCCATGCGAAGCAGATTATGATGGCATCAACTACGGAATAATCAAACCTGTGTTGAAAGTGCATGGACTTGTCTTGGCTAACACATTTTTCAATGCAGGGATCACCTACTACGGGATCGACCACAACGTCAGAAAAAGAATCGACTACATCATAGTTCCAGCAGCGGTGCTTGACAACATCAACGAGTGCATGGTATCATGGCGAAAAGGAAAGAGACTTCAACACATTCGATGCGTTGCGCCCAAGGATCACTATCCGATAACTATTGATTTTCAGCATTCATATGAATCCATACATCAACGGCCTCGACACAAACAACCCAATCGTGAACCGTGTAATGCCATGTTACTTTATGGACACAGGCGAGAAGAATTCGTAGGCAGCGTCGAGGAGGCCCTGGAGAAACACATGGACACCTTTGGACAGTGGGAATTTGACGGCAACGTTGACATGATAAATGCAGGACTTATGCAGATACTCAACAATGTTGCGACCAAGATGCTCACAGAGGCGCCAGGCTACACAGAGGACACGGGCAGCACCTTCAACATGAGCGCGCAGGTCAGCAAACTACTTGAGGAGAGACGAGAAGCCAAAGAGAATGAAGTCTCGAATGAAGATCTATGCATTGAGATTGCGCGCATCAGCAGAATACTCAAGAAGCGCAAGCAAGAACTAGCCGAAGCACGACTTCAAGACAGAGTCGAGGCTCTGTGGGAAGCATGGCGAGAGAGGAAGTTCTATGATGCACACAGGATAGCCAGACTCATTGCAGGGCAGTGCAGAGGACCTCGAGGGCGACACTACAGCAGGGTACCCACATCTCGAGCATCAGCCACAGAATGGATCAGCCAGTTTCAGAAGGCAGGCACGAGTGGAGGCGCCAATGCTAGAGTACTTCATAGAAAGGAGGCGCCAACTATCACCACAGGCTTCTGGAGACAACCATTTGATGATGGACAGCAATCTGAAAGGAGGCATTTTTCCCCATCGCACTTGGAATGGATCAATGAACCAGAAGACGAAATCGACTATCAAGCGGCGCATCAAGATGCTCTCCATGACGTAGAGAAATTACGCAAGGCGGTACGCAAACTCCTCTCTTGGAGAGCTACACCCTCATGGAGCATCTCGAGTGATCTTCTGAGAGTCATGATGGACCCCAACTGGTACTACAAGAAATCAAAACGACGAGGACTTCGAAGCGCAGAGGATGATGCAGAAAAACTGGGTCAGGAACGGGGGTTTTCCGTCCCGTCGGGCGGCGTCGGCGCCAACCCTGATCGTCTAGAGACTTTCCAGGAGATTGGCCGTAGGGGCCCTGCTGGAGATCAGAGGGAAGCGTGTAACCGCCCGACTAATCAGGAGATGAGAGTCGCCACGTTGGACGGATTTGCACGGGCAACCACAGGCGAACTCGAAGGAGAACAGGACGACGATCCCATCCCACGACCAGGAGAGGTTCTGGAAGAACAGCGAGGAGCACATGAGGAGGCTGAGGATGAGCACAAGGCAGACACCAACAAGATCAAGGCTCCCAATTTTGAGAGATGCGTCTACCTTCTGTGTCGCACGATCAGACAAGCAGGGAGGGCACCAGCGGTTTGGCATCAGGCACAATGCTGTCGACCCCCCAAGCACAATGACAAGCTGAACACGGCGGGGGAAAGACCTATCATGATATTCTGTGGACTTGGCAGATCTTACTACCGATCGATGATGAAACACAATGTCACATTTCCGTACTGGGCGCATGGTGGGATTGCTCACAGAAGAAGGGAGGATGCGATGTTGGTACAAATGTGTGGATCTGCCAGGCTTCGAAGGGCAGGATTGAACCGCATCACACGATTTCACGATGCCAGTAATGCGTTCTACTGTATTCATAAAGAGCACGCTGAAGAGGCGGCAGACGAGCTAGCCATTTCAGATCGAGTGGCTATCAAAGAATTCAGAACAGCACCTTCACGGTTGACGACGGGGCTTACAGTGGGCATCTTGCCAATCAAAGTGGAGTGGTACCAGGAGATCACGCGGCCACAAAGTTGTTTGCGAAGGCTCACGGAGCAGGAATACAGCAGCTCATCGACACCATGGACACGGATCACTGGCAGAGAGCGCTGCACATGCAACTTCCTGCTCCACTTCGAGGGCCACAAGACGAGAGAGTCACGGACCTGAGCACCTCGGTCTTCGTGGACGACGTGGCCCGCAAGATCGTGGGCGCCAGCGCGGAGCACCTGTCCGCTGCGGCGCAGTGGGAGAACGAAGTGGTTGACAGACTTCTGCACGAGATCGGAGGGGTGCAAAATAAGGAAAAACAAACAAACATAGTTCAGGGAGCAGGCCGACAATCAGGAATATTAAATCGCCAGTTTCACGAACATCGGGTTCCTCTCCAAGGGCATGTTCTCTCAGAGGCGAGGTATCTCGGGGGCAGACAACATTGTAACAACGGGTTCTCGGCTGAGAAAAAGTACAGGATTCAGGCCCTCAAGACGGCCTGGCACAAAATGGGTAAGTTCTGGTCTACTCCAAAAATCTCGATGAGGTTCAAGGGCATTGTTTTCACTGGGTTGATCCTGAATGCGGCGCTCTCGGGGTTAGAAGCCTTCGTCCTCAACATGCGGAGCCCGATCACCGAACGGTCCCTGGGGCCCCTGCAGCAGTTAGTCTACAAATACGCGAGGGTCGTGCTTCGAGGAAAATACACTTCCAGAAATCGAGATCGAGTTCGAGCCCCACCTAATCAAGAAGTGCGAAGGCATCTCAAAATAGGAACCCTCTTCACCGAGCTGAGAATCAGGCGTCTCAAGTGGCTGCAGGACATTGTGTGGAACCAGAAGGCACATGAGCAGGCGATCGCAGCGTTAGTAGGCAGAGCTTTTTGTGAAGATGTGCCCCTTGAATTCGACCCTCAAGGCAAGGTGCTCCCAACGGCCAACCCCTGGCTGAAGCAGTTCTGGCAGGACGTTTTGGCGCTCGAGGGAACCACCAGAGGCCCAGAGCTTCTAGAGGAGCTAGAGGGGAAATGTTAGGTTTGTTCCTAGGAGAAGGAAGAGAAATCTTCAGAGCAATATATGTAGCTGAATTGAGGTCTATCGAACTTGCGAGGACGGTTCCCCCTCCTGTGTGCCTGGGCGGGATCGGGGGTACTGCGACCCCCCCTCTTCAGGAAGAGCAAGGCGACACACCTCAATTGCCTGTCCAGTGCCCAGTTTGCGAGGAAGTGTTTCCTGATCAGAAGAGCACGGTCACTCATTGTGTGAGAATTTGCGCGAGAGGGCGAGAGGACACAGAAAAGATCCTGAGGCAGACTTGTGCCACGGACAGGATCCCTCACATCGCCACGCTGTCGAACTATTGCCTTCTCTGCCGAAGTAACTTCTCGGATCGTGCCACCGCTCAGTGGCACCTTGCAGCATCAGTGAAGCATCAGAGATGCGTTGCAGATTTTTCGGCGAGAGCTCCGCAGAGGAAAGCCCACACCGTCACGCAATGCCCGTTGTGCCTTTTTGTTGCTCAGACTCCTGACCTGTTAGATCAGCATCTAGCGCACAATCACGTCTTGCCTTCTATTGAGAACCTTTCGATCACTATTGGTGTCGCGGTGGGTGTCGGCGGTCGAGGCTGTAGAGAAGAGCGTCAAGCCAAAGGAACAGCTGACCAAGAAGGCCAAGGGCGGCGGCAAAAGTGGAGGAGCGCAGGACACCAAGCTACTACTGCAGCTGGAAGCTCGCATGAGAGAGAGAGAGAGAGAGAGAGAGAGAGAGAGAAGCGTCAGACGACCACTTCAAAGGCCCGACGGGCCACCCTGTTTTTTTGGCCATCAAGGAAGCTACCACCAAGTACGAGAAGCTCGTCACGGAGGTGGGCGCAGGGCACGAGTTCGGGTCACCTCACCTACACGCAGCGGGAGCCATGATCGCCACAGTTGCCAGCACGTCCACCGAGGGCAAAAACGATGAAATTCAATGCATATTCGCAGCAGTCAAACGGCTCGACGAATTCAGAGAGGCGGGCAGCCCATCAGACCTCGAAGACTGGTGCGTCACATGCAGATCAAGCGAGCTCCAAAGCAAACGAGGAGTTCAACCCACATCACGTCTTTCTTTCAATTTCGAGGGACACTGGCCCGCGGCAAAGAACCTGGCAGAGGAACAGCAGATCGTGGCGCAGAAGGGCAAGCATCATCCACAGGAGCTCGACACAGCGGGCAACTTCACACTGGTCAGGGTGAACCGTCTGATCGGCCTGTGCCTGCGCGCGAGCGGGCTCCAGAAGATGCCAGGGAAGGCACCGATCGGGGGGCTTGCCTACGGAATCAGAGGAAAGCAGTGAGCCAGAGTAGAGAAGAACATGTACCAGAAGGAGTAGGTAGGAACAGCAGAGCAGGTCAGGAGCACCATTTTTTTTTCGGAGAGTGGCCTTGAGCCCAGGCAGCAGCCCCCCAACAGCCTCCAGGGATCGACTCCTCCTCGGTCGGGCTCGGAGCCTCCCTCCCTCGCCTACCTTCGCTCGCTCAGTCGTCGACCCTGGGAGGACAGGTTGGAGGAGCTCAGACTGCGACTCCAGCGAAGAGAAAACTCTCGCAACTAAGTTTAGTAAGCGCCCCCGCGCCTAGACGCCACTGCTAGCGCTGTGCGCGCAATGGCAGCGGCGTCTGGCCTAGCGCTCCCACATAATATAAGGCCCCCTGGAGTGCAAACACCAGGCTCTGCGGCACCCCTAGAGTAGCTCTCTTGAGGAGTGAATGGATACCGATGCAGATGAGTCAGTCAGTCAGTCTCCTCCTCCTCCTCCTCCTCCTCCTCCTCCTCCTCCTCCTCCTCCTCCGCCTCCCCGTAGCCATTCTGGCTTAGGGGCCTGGCAGTCGCCGGGACCCGTGCGGAGGCGCCCTCGCGAGCGCCGCGGCCGCGCTGCCCCCTGGCGCGCGGCATTTGGCGGTGCGATGGGACGAGGCGGGCGCCGCGGGCCCACGGTCCGCCACGGTGCCGCCCTCGCGTCTGTGGGCACTCTGGGCGAGGCCGCCGAGCTCATGCTGCTCCTGCAGGCCAAGGAGCAGTCGGCGGAGGCGCAGGCCGGGGCGGACAGGAGGGCGAGGGACGCCTTTGCCTCGGAGCCTACGCGCAGCGCCTCGTCGGCTGTGGCGCTGAGCTCGTCGCCGCCCTGGGCCGCAGCACCTTGGCGAAAGGGCTGGAGAAGCTCAGGGACCAGGGGAGGAGGCCTCCACCGCACCTCGAGCGAGCCTGGCGGGGCATTGACACTGCCGCGAGCCTGCTTCGCCACCCGGGCATGGGCGATGAAGCCCTCGACCAGGCGCGGGCGCGGCTCAGTGCTGGCGGAGAGGCCCACGGGATGTCCAAGCTCGTGCACGAGGAGGCGGACTCCAGCGCGCAGGGGCCCAGGGAGAATGAGAGCACGCTCAAGCAGAAGTCTTCCTGGCAGGAGCTGCTGGGCGAGAAGATGCTGGAGCTGGAGGCGGCAAAGGCGGAGCACAAGCAGTCCATCGAGCAGAAGGAGACCGAGCTGTTGGAGGCAATGCGGATCAAGGCCCAGCTGGTGGCCCAGAACGCGGAGCTCCTGATGCAGCTTAGCCAGCAGTACCAGGAAATGCACGTCCTTGGGGAGATGCTGGACGACTCCAAGCAGCGGGCCAAACAGATGGAGACCGAGACGCGCGACCTCGCCAACGTGATCGATGAGCAGGGCAAGCAGATAGAGGAGCGCGAGGAGGCCTTGGACAACTTGCACATGCTCGCCCCGCTCGTGGAGGTCCCTGCCTTCCCCGCTCTGGGCCTCTTGCACAAGAAGGGCGAGATCGACGGCGGGGAGGGCCAGTCGCGCAACGTCGAGCAGCAGAACGACGGCGACGCCCAGTGGACCGAGGGCCACACGCGGAGCTTCGCGGAGGGCCAGGGCAGAAAGCTATACTTAGAGGAGGCAGAGGAGAGCATCGAGGACGGCCAGGTGCGCACCGTGGACGCGTACTTGCAGGTGGCCCTCGGCAGCCAGCAGAGCATCGCGGAGTGCCAGGGCTGTCCCCAGTGCGCCCACGAGACGGAACAGAGCGACGGCGACGCGCAGACGGTCCATGCGCGGTGGGGGGCCGCGCAAACAACCCCCAGCTGGCGCGCGCCGAGGCGCGCGACAAAGTGGCAGCCCAAGACGGATGGGGCTCAGCACGAGTTCGCAGGGCAGCAGAAGTGGGAGACCCACGCCGAGGGGGAGCAGAAGGCGGAGGGCTCGAAGCGCAAGCAGTGGCCCAGTAGGGGCAAGCCAGAGTGGCTGCTGCTCAAGGGCGCTGAGAAGGCGCAGGCCGCGAACGCGATGGAGATCCCGCGGAGCCGCGGCCAGAGACGGCGGAGGCGGTAGTGTTGGCAGCAGCCGTCAGCTTGCTGATCGTCGCCTGCCGCCAGGGGGAGCAGCAGCGGAGGCGGATGCACTGGCAGCAGACATCAGCCTGCTGGTCCCCGCTTGCCGCTAGAGAGGATGCGCGCTGAGGCCGCTGGCCCACCCTGCCGCGAGCGTGCTGCTAGTGCGCTCGGCCAGGGTGCCGAGACCAGGGGCACCCACGTGCATGCCTGAGCACGCGAGTTTAAGCCTCCTCCTCCTCCTCCTCCTCCTCCTCCTCCTCCTCCTCCTCCTCCTCTGCCTCCTCCTCCTCCGCCTCCGCCTCCTCGTCGTCGTCATCATCCTCCTTGTCCTCCTCCTCCTCCTCCTCCTCCTCCTCCTCCTCCTCCGCCTCCTCGTCATCCTCCTTGTCTTCCTCTTCTTTTTTCAGTGGTGCTGATTGTCGCGGTTGCGGGTTCGGGGCTGCTGGCGGTGTTGCTCTTAGTCGTTGTCTCGGCGGTGGCGCTGCTGGTCGCCGTCGTGGTGGCGGCGTTGCTGGTCGCCGTTGCGGTGATGGCGGTGCTGCTGGTGGTGCTGCTGGTCGCCGGCGTGTTGATGGCCATGCAGGCCGCCGTCACGGTGGTGGCAGTGCCGTCGTCGTGGTGGTGGTAGTCGTCGTCGCGTTTGTGGTGGCAGTGCTGTTTGTCGCCGTGGTGGCGGAAGTGGTGCTGGTCGCTGTCATGATGGTGGTGCTGCTGGTCACTATCGTGGTGGTGGTGCTGGTTGCCGTCGTGGTGACGCGAGTCGTTGTCGCAGCGGCGTTGCTGGTCGCCGGCGCGATGCTCGTGTAGTCGCCAGCGTGGTAGCGGAACTGCTGATGGCGAAGCTGCTGGTCGTCGTGGTGGTGGTGGTGGTGGTGGTGGTGGTGGTGGTGGTGGTGGTGGTGGCACTCCTGGTCGTTGCCGTGCTGCGGGTGGTCGGTGTCGCGGTGGCGGTGCCGCTCGTGGTGGCGCAGTTGGTCGCAATGGTGCTGGTGCTGGTCACCGGCGTGGTGGTGGCGGCAATGGTCGCCGTCGGGGCGGTGGTGTTGCTGGTCGTCGCTGTGGTCTTGCTAGCCGCTGTCGTGGTGGTAATGGTGCGGCTGGCCGACATCAAGTTTGTGGTGCTGCTGGTCGCCGATGTAGTGTTGCTGGCCGCAGTTGTGGTGCTGGCGGTGCTGGTGGTGGTCCTGCTGGTCGCCATCGCGGTGGCGCTGCTGGTCGTAATCGTTGCGCCGCTTGTCGTAGTCGTCGTGGCGGTGGTGCTTGTGTTGGTCGCAGTCCTGCTGCTGGTCGTCGTTGTCGTGGTGGCGACGCTGCCGTTGGTGCTGGTCGTGGTGGTGGTGCTACTACTGCTGCTGGTGCTGCTGGTCGTCGTCGTGCTGGTGGCGCTGCTTGGACAAATGTGGGCCAACGTTCGAACGATTAAATCAAGTTCCCGGGCCGGCCTGGTTGCCCCCATCTTGTGGAAGGGGAGAGCAGGCCGACGGAGGGTGGACAATCCCGGGCTGTTTGGGGAGCCAGGGGGGGCCCACGAGGCCGCCAAAACTTTGCAAACCATACCCTTGAAAGATAAGGTGTTTTGACCTACTCTTCTCCCTCCTCCTCCTCCTCCTCCTCCTCCTCCTCCTCCTCCTCCTCCTCCCTCCTCCTCCTCCTCCTCCTCCTCCTCCTCCTCCTCCTCCTCCTCCTCCTCCTCCTCCTCCTCCTCCTCCTCCTCCTCCTCCTCCTCCTCCTCCTCGGTGCCCCAGGGCCCTCGGGTCCGAGGAGGGCCCCGGGGCGGCGGACCGCGAGCGGGCGACGCACCGCGGGCCGCGCCGCGCGCGCCCGCGCCCGCGCCCGCCGCCGCCGCGGGCCGGGCGCCCGCGGCCGCCTAGCGCCGCTGCTGCTCCGCCGCCCGCTTCCGCCGCTCCTCGGCGTTCCTCCTCCTTGGCCTCGCCTCTCCTCCTCGGCGCGCCTCCTCGGCGCCCCTTCCCCTCGTGCTAGTGTTGTCCTCGTGCAGTCCTCGTGCGTCCTCGTGCAGCAGCGCTGTTCTCGCGCTGGTGCCGTCGTCGTGCTAGGCCGCCGGTTCCAGGCTCAGGGGTGTGAGCCACCAGACCCTTGCGTTAGTTGCGCTGGCTGGCCCGACGACCATCTCAGGCAGCGCTGATGAGCGTGCGCGCCACCTCCCGGGCCGCCACCTCCCAGACCACGCAGGTGGCGATGGACCGGTGAAGAGTGTTGGGAGTCTCCAGTCGCCCAGGGCCCTCAGGCACTTGCTGCGCGAGCCATTTCCGGGTGGACTCGCCCATGGCTCCCGACACTTCGAAGCCGAGGGGCTGGAGACCAGCGACTCCGTTGTATTTGCGGGGGCATGGCCTGTTCGGCCAGTCTCGCAGCGGTGCCTTGGGTGTGGGCCCCGCCGGCCTGCAGGCTCTGCTGCGAGGCGGGATGCACGAGCCCGGTGGGCGGGCGAATCCGTGGCTCGACGGCGATGTCGCAAATGCCGGCTTCACGTAGGGCTCACGCGATGGTGTCGCGCAGGTTGTTGTGCTTCTTAACCATGAAGCCGCCGTAGGAGCAGCAAAGCGCGTGGCGTCCGTTAGTGTCGACGGTGCCGGCGCAGAGGGTCCCGTCCTCCTTTCTGAAGGGCCAGTGGCCGTCAGCTGCGCGTACGAGACCTCCGAGTCTGCGTCTCACGGCCATCCTGAGGTGGTGGTCGGGCCGCGTGGGCGGCCCGAGCCACGCGCCTGCCCCCTGGCCTGTCGTGCTAAAAGCCCAGGCCCGTCGATGCGGTTCCGTCTGGGTGTGTCGCAGCCGCTGCGTCCACTCTGCGTGCCGCCTGTGCCTGGTAAAGCGCCGCTGGGTGGTGTCCGGCGGCTCCGTGTCGGGCGCCTGCTGTGCTGACAGTGCTCTGGAGGCGGTGGGGCGCCGGTCGCCAGCCCGGGCAGTAGTGGAGAAGGTCATCTCTGTCGTGGAGGCCCAGTCGCTGGAGCACTGGCTTCTCGCAGAGCGCCCACGAGGCCGCCTGGGCATCCAGGCGCGCTGCGCGCACGCTCTGGGATCCCAAGCCGCCCAGAGCGACAGGGTGCCAGTATTTCTCTTTCTGCTCCGCTGTGAGGTCGTGCGTTTGTACTAGCTCCTGCAGTGTGCTGAGTAGGTCGGCGTCGAGCTGAGTCGCCGTTTGGGCGGAAACCCCGGCGGCGCGCATGTGCCCAGTCCTGTCTCCTGCAGTGAGGGTTCGTAGAAGTACCAAAGACGTCTGAACGTCTAGGCCGGCTTCGTGGAGGTGCATGAGACTGGCCATGGCAGTCGTCCTGGTTCGTTGGCGCTGTAGTCGCGGCGAGGCGGGTGAGTGCAGGCTGCCCTCCTCGGCGCGCTGGTCGGCGGTTACCAGCGTCGGTGCCAGGCCGGAGTAGTCGTCGGCGTGTTGTCGTAAGATCGTGGGCTGCTCTACTCGCGGCACGGGTAGGCCCGCTGGTATCGCGGCAGGATTCCCCGCCCACACCTCACATTTGTCGACGCGTGTTTGGAGGCCGGCTTGGCTCAGTGCGTTGGTGCATGCTGCGTGTATGGTGGGCAGGTCTTCAGGCTTCGCAAGGATGGTGAGGTCGTCGATGTAGCCGAAGAGCTCGTGCTGTATACCTGCTGCGTCGAGTTGGTGTTTGGCCCTCTCGAGGGCTCGGTCGAGTCTGAGGCAGAAAAGCGTGGTGGCCATGCCGCACCCCTGGAAGATCCCCGTCGTTTGGTTCCAAATGTGTCTTCTGCTCCCGGTGTCGTGGTAGATTACCTGCCCGGCGTCCGGCAGGAAGCCTCTTGCCCATCGGCGGAGTTTTGGGCAGTGCGTATCGATACCTTCGTTGATGTACACTCTGCTCAGGTTCTGGAAGGCGTCTGCAGCGTCCAGAGAGAGCACGGCGTAGTCCGGGCAGACTTGGAGGGCAGTGGACACGCGCTTGTGGGCCAGTTCCGCCCCAGCCGTGCGCTTGTACCCGCACTGCTTGCCGCGAAGCCCCTCGGCGACCTCGTCCGCCGCCATTTTGTTGACCGCCTTGGACGCGAGACGGCGGAGCGGGCTGGCGAGGTTGATGGGGCGGATTCGGGTGGGGCTCTTGGTGAGCGGGAGGAGGCGGGCGGCCGTCGCCAGTTCCTGCACTTCCTGCAGGAGGGTGCCGCGGGCTAGTGCTGCGGCCACTGTGGCCAGGAGTTGGACGAGTTGGAAGTGCTCGTACCGCCACCCGTCGAGCCCAGCTGCGCTTCGTTTTGGTGCGGCCCGCAAGGCTTTGGCGAAGTGTAGCTCGAACTGTTGCTGCTCGTCTTCCTGTTCGTCGTAGGCTGCTGGTCGTCCTCCTCCTCCTCCTCTACCTCCTCCGCTTCCGCCTCCGTTTTCTCCTCCGCTTCCTCCTCCTCCTCCTCCTCCTCCTCCTCCTCCTCCTCCTCCTCCTCCTCCTCCTCCTCCTCCTCCTCGCCCTCCCCGTTGCCATTTCGGCTCAAGTGCTGGGGCGCTTGGGTGGGCAGCCTCTCCTGAAGGAGCCTTCTTGGGGTCGTTACCAAGCGGGCACACCGCTTCTCTCTGCCATAGCGCGCGCTGCTCTCTCGCCTGTGGGCCTGCAGGACAGCGGTGGCGTCCTCTCCCTCCTGGTCGCTCATCCACGTGCTGATCGTCTGTCCAGCGTGTCAGAGTCAACGAGATGACGAGAAGCTTGGCTCCCAGATCGCCCTGCTGCGACTGGATCTACAGAAAATGAAGGCTTCGGTGGAGGAGAAGCGCCTCTTGCTCCTGAGCTTCGCCCCAACCAGGCCGCTCGACGTGGACGGCTATCGCAAGAGCTGGACGCCATGCTGATCACAATGGAGAGCACGCTCATGAAGCTGATCGCCTTTATTGCAGGGTCTTCTTGCTCCGCTGTCAGTGCAGATCGTGCGGAGGTGGTCGGAACAGACCCCTGGGGCCGCTTCCTGGGACCCAGCTGGTGCAAGAGAGCCAGGTATGCTCCGACGCGACCACTGTGTTTTACATGTCCT